ATTCAACGTTTAATACAACCCCAAATAAAATAAGAGTTAAAAATAAAGGAAGAACGACTCCCAAAACCGGGGGCTCTGTCGTGACAATCCTGATCAGTACCGTGCCTGCCTTGGTGATCACCCTCTCTCGAGGCCTGATCACCGCTCTGCTATCGTCTGGCTATGGAGGACACCAAGGAAGGTTGGTAGGTAGTCGATCGGAAGCACTGTAGTTGCTTGCTCACGCCTTAGATAAAGATCTTCTCTCTTCTTCCTTGCCTTCTCTTTTTGGCGGCTACGGCTGGTTATTTATAAGGAAAGATCTCCTAGGTCTTTGTCTACTTTTGGAGTTTCCTTAACTAACCATTATTAATTCCCCAGACTTAAAAGGAAAGGCGGCTGTCAGAATAATTGGCGCTTGTTTGCATGTGAAGTAGGTCATCCAGCTGGCGAGTGACATAGGCGGTTTCTCCACACCTGCTTCAGACTTCCTCAAATAAATCTTGCCTCGGTAAGATAAATATGCTTCTAACGTTCTCATCTATTCCGTTGGCCTTTGCAAATTTACGTTGCCACAACTGAAATGTTCTTCCTCTGTAGGATTCCTACACAAACATAACTCAAACAACCCTTTCTCTTCAGCAGCATCAATCAAACCAAATAAATTTTGCCTAAGCAAAACTTATCCACCATAATCGAATATAACCTATATGCAACTAAATGCAACTAAAAATGCAGTGCATACTTTGTTTAGACGAGCAATAACTTAAGTGAAAAGACTAGGAATTAAGTCTTTTTACGGAATTATCAAATACAACTAAGGATTTTCCACAAATTCACTAATTTGTCTTTCTTTTGAGGACAAAGAGTAACCTTACAACTCCCTCAAGAATTATACCCCAAATTCTTGAGACACTCTCTCCTCAAAGAGAAAATTACAAACTTGCAAACTTACAGAAAAACCTCACAAGGTAAGATGTTTGCATAATTCTAGAACAAAGAAAGAACACTAAAAAATTAATACAATTGAGCACAAATTGTGTTCTTGAAAGCAAAATTGAATACACACTCTCCTCTTTTGCATTCGATGTTTGGGGGTATCAACATTGTTAAGGCAGTATTAGTACTACCCTATTTAAAACTCAATTTTGACTTGATTATGGTTTGAAATACTTGTAATAATTGTTTTAAAAATATTTTAAGTATAAATCTCAATTTTTTATTTAGTAAGGAGTAAAAATTGATATTTGAAAACTTGGAGTACTTTTTGTTATATTCGAATAATTAAATTGAATATAATATTTAAATCGAATATAAAATCTTAAAATTAATTAACACTTTATTTGTTATATCGAAATATCAAAATGTTTTCAACAAATTTCATAATTTTATACTTTAAGTTGGAGGGAAGCCTTAATTAATTCATTTAGTATAATTAGGATCAATAACCGATTGTTTGATTGCATTTTATTTTCAAAATAAGGCAATGTTCATTTGTTAGGGGGTTAGTAGTGTATCTCTCACTTTTGTCCAGGGGTGATCGCTATAGATTGTCGAAGTAAATCAACATCGTTTTCAAAATCCAACATCATGATTTTAAAATGGACAAGGCTATGTTCATTTATTGGGATTGATAATGAAGCTTCCACTTTTGCTTGGGGTGGTCGTTATTGGTCTTGGTAACTTGACATCCTTTTTAAAATATGCATACATAGTGGATTTGAAATTAAATAAAATTCCAAACTCAAAATTTCCAATTTTAAAATATAGGGTAATCGATTAGGTACCAACTTTGGGCACTGTAGGGGGTGCTAATCCTTCCCCATTCGTAACTGACTCCCAAACCTGATTTCTGATTTCACATACCAAAACTTGGTATTTTTTATAAAATAAAAAATGTTTTATTAAAATTATCGATTTTTGGTGTTCCAATCTCACCTTAAAATGATTGGTGGTGACTCTCATATTTTTATCAAAACCATTTTATTTTAGAAAATGTCGAGTCGGTATTCCACCAAAAGTCGGTTACGACAAAATCATCAAGTCATATATAAAGCATTTTACGCTAAAACAATTATAATCAATAAAAAGTTTAACTGTCACTTTTATCCTCACAACTTGCACTTTTCAATTTCTTTTACATCATAACCGAAAATACATAAATGATAATGCAAGGTATGCGAGTCAGTAAGATGCACTTTTTGTACCAGTCAGTGAGATGAACTTTTAGTGCAAGTCAATGTACAAGATACCATCAACTATATATCAATGTACTAGTAATCAAGAATATCATAGTACCGTCGTCAATCTACTATGTACTCGATGCAACTACTAGTACTCTATGACATACCAACTATACCAAGGACTCTCAATGTACATACAATGGGCATTTTAATTAATTATCACATGTTAATAAATTCTTAAAGATAAAAAATAACAAACGTTTCATATAATGGTAAAATGGGAAGTTCATACCCAACATATATTTCATTTCCACATAACATGAAAATATCATTAATCTCTTGCCTTTTTGACATGTAAACAATATGTTCATCATATGATAAATATCACAATTGCCATTCCAATATAATAGATTTGGTTTGTTCTCAAGTCTTTACAATGCATAACATAAAGGTAACGTAAATGCATGATTCATCATTTTTTTATTCTAGCTGCTTGTGCTACTTTTAAAGAATTATTTTTATGTATTAATTTACACACTGGAATTTAATTTGTTTGTTCCATTAAAACTAGATTCGAAAACAAATCTTACCTTATAAAGAACTCTTTCTAGTTCAACTTGTACAATTTATGGTAAATTTTCTAATTCAATTTACAAAATCTATTTTGGGCAAAATATGTTGTCATGTTTTCTGACCTATCATCAGTTAAAATTTATATCTTTTAGCATGCACATTGAAATAAGTATCCATTTGGTTCAAAAGAAACTGCATTAACAAAAAAATATAAGGATATAAAATCATCTTCTAATCGTTTTTATAGAATTTCTTTAGATTTTCTGAATTTTTTGTCAAGATCATAAAATCTAGGCAGATTATTCTTATTTTGCATTTTTAGCTTATTCATTGATTCTATTAGTCTTCTAACTACAATTTTAACCTAATTGCATCAATCACAAAGTCACATAATATACAAGAATCACTTTTTACCATAGTAATTCATTCATTGGCTCATAGCAAACCAATGTTCCACTTTAACATAAAAACACCATAAACATGTACTCACCTCGACACCTTATACTTCAACCAAAATGTATTCTTCTTGAAAACTTTATAAGTGTTCTTTTCCTTTCCTTTGTTATTCGCTTCACCTTAATAGAACTTGGATGGTTCACACACATCAATTACACAACAACTAAAATGAAGACATATGTTAGAATCCATTCTAACCCATGGGTACAAATATAAAGAATTCCCTAAAAATTCTTTTGATGCTTAATCAAGGATAATTACACTTCAAATTAACCCTAAATACCAAACTTTCACTAAAATCTTCTTTTCTCTCTTAAGGTTTCAAAGACCAAATTAGGGGTTTTTAAATTTCAATTCCAAATTTAATAATTTTACCATCAAAATGGAGCATAGGTGGTGGAAAACAACATGAACACTTTAATTTCTTCAAAACCCTAAACCCCTAATTGAAAACTCTAATAGTCAAATATATCATGGTGTGTTCACACTTGAATTTTTTATTTAAACATCATTCTAAAGCTTGTACAACCTTTAACCCTCATGATAAACATCAAAGCAAGCTTGAATAATTTTTCCCAATTTTTCTTCCTTATGGACGAATATAGTATATAAACTAATACATGAAATTCATTATGATTCAAGCATGGAAAATCTATATAATCAATTAATCCTTCAAATTCAAGACTTTATTCAACTCAATCCATAAACCTAAATATTTCTTTCATCAAATTCCATAGCATATATCAATCAAAATCATGAATTAATGAACCAAATTGAAGAAAATTCAAAGAAGAGCAAAATTGTATTTCAAATCTAAGTCCAAAATCCAATTCCTAAAGCTTGAAAAATCAAATTAAACTTACCTTGGAGGCTTTTGGAAACCCACGAAATTTTAATAAAGATGAACAATTCTCTTGAAATTTATAATTCATTTAACTTAGCCATTTGTAACCTGTATAATATAAATGAATTTAAAATTTATTTTATTGCAAAATGACTACTTTACCCTTAAAATACATTGCTCACAAATATGCCACAAGTCAAAATCTTCATCCAAGGGCTAATATTAATTATGCAGTTATTAGTTACCAACTTTGCCCTTGTAAATTCCATAATTACAATATTGACATTTTCCATCCAACGACTTAGATTTAACATGGAAAATAAACTTAAATCAATGGTCTATATTAATTATTATCCTTTTAAAGAAAGGAAGTTACATTATTACCCTTGATCTATAATCTAGAAAAAATATCTCAAATTTTCGATTTGATTCGATTATCCAAAATTTCTTAAACTTTAGCTTTTAACATAAATTATATATAGAAAATTTGAGTAACATAAAAACGTCATTATTGGGGAAAACTATTCATTCAAAGGATAAGATGCCTATTTGGGGAAATTAACATTTTGGTGCTTGAACTTTTCCCAAATTTATACTTTAGTCACCAAACTTCAATTTATTTATTTTGGTCACTAATTAAAAGTTTGGGTTATTATATAATTGATTTTGATTTGACTTCATACATAACCCCAGGTTTTTGCATCTTTTTCATCATCTCAGTTAATGTTGTCACCTGTGTAGTTAACACATTCATAGCATAATTATCCATTGTAGTATCAACGTATCTTTCAAACATAATCCTTGTGTTTGGATATTGATAATCCCTGTTGAATATTCTCTCAAAGATTTCATATGCTTCATTGTATGATTCTTCTAGTAAATTTCCATTCGATGATGCATCCACAACCATTTTGATATGCATGTTCAATCCATTGTAGAAAATTTTCATTTGTGTCTAATGTTGGAAATCATGCATCGGGCATGTAGGCAACAAACCTTTGAATCTTTCCCACACTTCATATAGATTTTCATCCTCCATTTTCTTGAAATACGTGATGTCATTTCTAAGCCTTGCATTTATAGTGAGATGATTGAAATGTAGGAAATTTTGAGCAAGTTCGTTCCATGATGCTACTATTCCTGGTGACAATGAATTAAGCCAAGCCTTGGTTTGTCATGTAATGAATATGGAAACAATTTCAGTTTCAAGGCCTCTTCTGGCACTCATTATTTTATAAATGAATCGGAAACTTCAATAAAAGCTCTCAAGTGTGAATGAGAGTCCTCGGTATGCATTCCACTTTATTTCCCCATCAATTGCAACATTTGAAACATAATGAGCTTTAACTCAAAGTGTGCAACATGGATGGCACAATAGACAATCCCATGGTTTAAATCATCTAATATGGGTATAATATATTCTTAGATTAGTCTATCTCTATCATCGATGTATTGAAAATCTGACTTCATCGAAATATTTTGCAATGGATGAACTAGTCTAGCATTATGTCCTTGTTTAACTATTCGCTCTTGTTGGTGTTGGTCTTCCTCGATTGGTAATTGTGATTATGTTTCATCTTGAATAACAGCGGGATCCATGTGTGGATGTTTTCGTCTTCTTCGACGGATAGCTCTTTCTATCTCATGATCAAAAGGCAAAAGGTTCTAATTATTGCTTCGAGTCATACGCCGTCAAAGGTCTGTTAAAAGTTACCTAAAACAACTAACATTATGTTAATATAAGAACAATTCTAAAAGTAATGGCACTAGTCTCCGGAAACGGTGCAAAAAACATGATACGTCCAATAATGTAACATCAATAGTGCAAGCATACACTATCGTATCAACTAGTAAAATGGATGTGAATTAATGCATCGAGTTATTGTATCAACATAGACTAGTATTACCTAAAGAATTCTAGCAACATTAACTAGGTAGCAAGTATGTATGACTGATGTTGTGAACAGAGTAATGAAAATGTAAACTAAAATATTTGTGAGAATGAAGGGAAACACAAAACAAGTAATTGAAGCATTGGGTCAATTTAAGCAGAGGATTGTGGTAATGTCAAACTCATGTAATAAAAAATTTCACAGCAATAGGATTGATGCTCATAGTAATAACTTAGTGGACTCTACCTTTCTCGATGGCCTTTACCCAAAAGCTCTCAACAATGTAATATCTTTATAACCACCAAAGCAAGTTTATTAAGTATGTTATGACAATCAGACAACTAGATTTCTCTACACTAAAATGTTACTCTTACATTCTTTGATGCGCCTACAATGTCACTTACCTCTCGATGTAACGATTCTGTAGTTTTATATCTCTATATTAAATGTCACGATAAATCCAAGCAACAAAAATCAAATCAAGAGACAGAATTAATCAAACATGAATTTCATCAAACACATTTGAAACATATCATCCAAGATTTAACAACCCACATAAAACAAGAGTATTTCAACAAAAATAAATGAAATCCTTCCTCTCGGATTCATCTCAAGAGTGATTTTTTTATGCTCAATCGATCGATGCCCACCACCCTCTCGAGCACTACTAGCTTCCACGTCCGAGTGTTGCTCTTCCCCAAGGAACTTAAGCTTCCATGGTCGGTGGAGAAAAGAATGAAGATGACTATAAAAAAATCAAGGAGGAAAGGTATGAAAAGGGATTCATTTTTTCATTTTGGTTTGCTCCTATTTATAGCCACCCCAAGGTCAAACTAACAACCAATAGTGATTTTTTCATTCTCTTATATTCCAGCCTTTTTATAACAGATTTGGACAACTGGCTCTTCTTGAAGATTCTATCCTAATTGTCTGCTGACTCATTGATGCTTCAGCAATTCAACTGGACGCACAACAAAATTTTGACTATCGTTGCTTGCAGCAATAGCTGACAATATCAAGGAACACACAACAGCAGGATATATTATAGCATACCAATGTCACTGCAAAATAGACCAAATTAAGCCCAAAATTTACCAACTCATTCCCATTATACATATGATACAAATTATACTAAAAATGATATAAATATGATCCTAAAATGCTAAAGTGCAAGCCTAAACCTAAATAAAATGGTTTTGAAAATAACTCTTTTGTAGAATTATCAGTCAATAGGTCGATCAGAGAGTTTGGAGTTGAGTATGGAAGATGAGTTAGACAAATGGGTATTAGGTCGGAACAGGCTCAGGTTTAGGTTGATTCAATTGCGGATCAATATTGTGTTTTGTCTGGTTCAAGTCAGGTACTAGGTCTAGATAAATTGGCATAGGGCTCGGGTCAGGACTAGGTTTTATTTTGGGCTTGGTTCACAAATAGACTCACTAGGCATCTAAGTTGAGCCCAGTAGAATTGAGAGAGGCATGGAGCCTCAATTATTGGGTTCCGCACGAACCTTACATGAGTCTTGGGATAAGGGTAACTGGTTGGGGATTTAGGGTTTTCCCTAATGGAAGAAGAAAGGCGAGAGGCTTTTACCGACAATAGGTGTATAGTTTAGTGAATAGGTAGAGAATAAACCCTAAGAAGAATATGGAACGATCAAAAAAACAAAAAGAAAGTGAAAGATATGTTAGGAAGATATGAGAGGAATTTGGAAGAAAAAAAACTTATCTAATCTAAAAATGGAAGAGCGGGTGGGAACAAATGGAAACTTGAAAGGTTCTTCCCTTTATTCTTAGAGATCACAAATGTTATAGGAAAATAGTAGAAGAGCCTTGATAAGGACATAAAGGGGAACACAATAGTGGTGGCTATGAAAGGCACGACTTCGGTGAATGGTTAGTGAGGTGGTCATGCAAAGAGGACTTCAGAGAGAAAAAGGGCTCATGTGATGTAACTAAAAGAAATGGGAGAGAAAAAGACCTCTCATGTTGGTAAAGGGGGTTTAATACACCTAGCTTTAAGGTTCGAACAAGGAATCTTTATAGGGAGCCAATTCCAATATTTGGTTCAAAATGTGCTTAGCCTCGACTGTGAGAGAACTGGGTAGCCAGGGAGGTAGTCACAGGTTTGAACCCTCACATACGTGAAAATTGTTTTTTTTTCTTTTTCCATTTTCTCTCTTGTCTTGCAACATAAGGGAAATTACATAAATCACACCCAAAATCCTTAAAATTTCCCTACGTTTATGAAAAATGTTATAAAATTTTACATGTGTTCCTTTAGGTCCTCAATTTCAGAAAATGCTTCAATTGAGAACCTAAATCTAGATTTTAATCAAAGTAATCTTTTAACAGTCAGATTTAAATGTGTCATTGTCTCGAATGATAGAGATTCTTGAATTGGCCCAATAAACCTAAAACTATGAAGCAATTTGATAAACTTTGTTTGAGGTGTTCTGAAAGTGAAAAAATTATGAAATGTTGCGAGAAGCCTCCTCCGATGTAGTAGTTCTGATCTAGAAATTTTGGGCTTTAAGTTCTTTCAATTGTAATTTCATTTTTGTTATTTTTCTATTCTTTCCATATTATTTTCTTTTCTTTTTGCAAGTAATTGACAAAATATAGAAATAAAGATTGATAACAAACCCTAACTTGATCAAAATAGCCCTTTTCCGTTATTTTCTAGCAAAAACAATCAAGGAAGCATCAACAGTGCAGCAAACACGGAATCACCTTAGAATGCCTAACTTTGATACCAAAATGATATGCAATGCAGTAGAATCAAGACCATTTACACAATGATCAGAACACTAAAAGATCTAGACTCGATCAAGGAATTTATCTCATTGGAATCAAGGATGGATCGCAAGATTATGTAACATGAAATAAGATGAAATGTAGAAACTAAGAATAAAAAGAGATTGATTCGACAAAACCCTTCCAATTAGATTGATTCAATAATACCATTCAAAAGGTTCTAATCTCCCTTCAAGCTAGAAAACTTGCCAAAAAGAAGTGTGGAGATGAACCGCCACGAATCTTACTGCAAGAAAGTGTTGAAATAGCTTGGGAAAGAAAAAAGCAAAAGCAAAAGCAAAATTTTACTCGATGAGTATTCAATATCAAAATTATTCAAGTTATCTTACGAGGTTTTAGGCATCCTCTTTTATAGGCTAAGGAGACAACCCTAGAAACCTAAATCTGACTTGGATGGCACATTATTTCCTTAAGTAAACTAAATGCATAATCAAAAAATAAAAATCCAAGAGATTGAATAATATTGGGCAATCAGAAAATAGAAATCCCAACGATTGAGTGATCTAGGGCAATTAGAAAATAGAAATCTCAGAGATTGAGTTGTCTTAGGCAATTAGAAAATAAAAATCTTAGAGATGAGTAATCTTGGGTGGCACACTCTTGCCTTATTTAAAATATTTAAAAATAAAACAAAATCATAAAGATTGAGTTTGTAATACTCCATAAACTTTGCTAGTGGCCAAAGTGAATAAAATAAAAGTTTGATGGCTAAAGTTTAAACATGTGAAAAGTTGAGGGACCAAAATGATAATTTAAAAATATGTATTTTTGTATCGGATTTTTGGTATGTAAATTATGTTAAAAGCTATAAAGTTTTAAAGTTCAGGAAAAAATTCAGATAATCGGATCGAATCGAAAATTTAAGAAAATTCAGATAATCGGACAAAAATGTATTTTCCATGCTTTAACATGATAAGATTTAATATGGACCATTGTATTGAAGTTGATTTTCCATGTTCAATCTAAGTCACTAGATGAAAAGTGACAAGATTGTAATTATGGAATTTTACAATTGCAAAGTTAGTAACTACGAACTCCATGGTTGAATTTTAGCCCTTGGATGAAGATTTTGACATGTGGAATATTTTTTATCATTGGATCTTAAGGGTAAAATGATCATTTGGATTAAAAAGAATTTTAAATTTATTTTAAGTTATAAAAATCAAAATAGACTAAAATGAGAGGAAAAGAAAATTCAAGAATTTTCTCATCCTTTATTCATATTGCCATGAGCTCCATGAAACCCTAAGGTAAGTCTTTAATTTGATTATTAATCTTTTTAGTTTGGAATTAAGGTTTAGGAATGTCAAATTTTGTTCATCTTTGAGTTCTCTTCAATTTGGTACCATCAATTCATAGTTTTG